CCACCTGTGTGTCTTTATGTTTGAGTTTTTTTGTGTTTGGGTGTGCGTCCGATGCCGCTTTATCTCAAGCAACACCCCACGCAAGCTGATCTCGGCGCAGGTATGCCAGCAATGCCAAGGAGACAGCCCAAGCCCTCAGTGACGCTGGGCCTGCCCAGCATGAACCACGCTTGAAGCTTTTCTGCGGGGCAAGCTTCGGTGCAGGACCTGAAGCAAAGAAGCAACACGGGGTACTTGCCGCTGCGCGCATGCTAATTTGCATGACTTCCCAGCCAACGGCCCCATTCTTGCTCATCCGTGTTCTGACTGGAGCTGTGTTGGAGAACTTTTCAATTTGAAAAAAGGTTTGGCTGCACATCGGCTTTTTGTCCAGGCGCAGTTGTAAGACGCATCCCAGCTCTCTGCGTGGCCCATGCCAAGTTGCCTGAAAGCGAGCTTGGGACAAGTTCCAGTTTTGAACCAGAGCTGCGCACATTGACTCCTTGAGTTGTCATTGGGCTGTTGGGTGGCGGCAAATCCCTGAAGAAAGGCAAACCCTTTGGCATTACTTGAGATTTTGCTTTGAGCAGTTCCCAGCTACTTGTGTGGCTGACAGCCCCCTGCTCTACGCAGCAGCCATGTTAGATTGAATGCGTTCCCATCCTTCTGGAACGGGCAGTAAAGTTTGAGGCAATTTCAACTTGCACAGTGCACCGCACATACTCAGGTACTCCAGCTGTCGTTCTTTGTTGTCTTCAAAATTGCGCGAGAGCGCTATGCCCGGCGCTCGGGTTCGCTAAGCGGAGTGGTTTCTGTCGTTGTGGACATTGCTTGGTGAGCTTGGGCTTCCGACGCCGGCATGCGGGCGGTGGCTGACGGCCGCCAGCTGTGCGCGGCGGCTGTGTCAAATTGAAGCCGACCAATTTCTCCGAAAGCCGCAAATAAGCTTGGAGGCAAGCGCAGCTTGCTGTTTGCAAGAGTGCACTTCTCTGAGCGCGCACACGTACTCTGGCTTTCTGCCTTGTTGTGCCAGAGCTATGCGCTGCGCCCAAGCCTTCCACAAGGAGCCTGCCATGAGAAATTTCGGTGGTAGTGACCATTGCTGCATTGTTGCAGCTTACTGAGCGTAGCGCTTCCCGGCAGACATGTCAGCTGCCAGCAGTCCCCCACCGTCGTCTGTGCTTGCCCAGCTTGCGGCTGTCATTTCAGCTCGGCTGCCCGAGTGACAGCCTTCATGCCGCCTGCGTATGGACCAGTTGCGCCAGCTGCAAGTGGCTGAGTAGTGGTGTGGAAGTGCGAAGCGCCCGTCCTTCAACTTCTTTTCTGCTTTCTTGAGATTAAGGCAGCTGCGGCTGCAGCCTCTGAAAGCTGCCCCATTACCTTTTGGACATTGAGTGTTTCAGCATGTGGCGCGCGAAATCGAGCGCCTGGGTCCTGCACCAGGACCTGCGGTGCCATCAGAATCAGGAGAAAGGCTTGCGTCGCTGTGCCTAGTGCTGGTTGGGGGCAGCGCTCTGCAAGGCTGAATCATGCGTCTGTTTTGGTGCCACATGGGTTTGCTCAGTGGAGCTCGGCTTGGAGACGGCGCCTTGTGCGCGCAATCTCCGGGCAGCTTGCGATGCACTTGGGCCCCCGTTGCCTAGAGGTTGTTCGACTCAATCCATTCGCTTGGCAAACAGCAAGAGGGAGGAACGCAGGGTGCATGGACACTCACCCGTGTCACGAAAAGTTCCGTGTCACTCGATTGCTCTGAAGCTCTGCGTTCTGTCCGAAGACATTGGAAGGAGCAGTTGCCTTTGTTCAGCGCCTTAGGCCTCACCTCTCCAAAGTGAAGAGAAGGCTCAGGTGCGAAATCCACAGCGCGAGGAAACATGAAAGAAGTGGGTACGCAAGTCTGGCCGTAAAGCCAACGTTTCAACACAAATGCAGTTTTTCACGCAAAGGGTCTCGAAACCATGGCTCAAACAGGGGGTTGAATCACGAGAAGCAAGCTAGGGGTAGATTCATGGTTGATTCCAAAGCTCGGTGTCTTCCAAAAGCAGCCGTTTCCCCTAAAAATGTGGTTTTCTGGAAGGCTGAATAGTGAAAAGGGTACTGCTAGCTTCGGAGTCCAGACCAGAGGCCCGAAAGTGGAGCATTTCCTTGCAAAAGGGATAGCATTCGCCAGGGCCGGTAGGGTTTTCAGATGGATTCCGGAAGCAGTGTGGATGTATATAATTATGGATGCTTGTGTACCACCCTTGCATAAGTTGTATGAAATCTTGCCCCTTATGTGAATACTGCGGCTTGCATAGGTACATTTCATGTAAAATACATGCACACGGTGGCTCAAGCCTCAAGTCCCGTCTCACAACATGCGTTGCGAGACATCAGAAGGAAAACAATTGAGCTCGCTGGAAGTGCACGGTATTAGGGATAATTGATATATTGCGTGCTTCCTGGAAATCAACACAACCACTGTTGTCGGGTAACACTGAGGAATCCCCTCGATTCTCAGGTTATCAGCCGTAGGGCTTGTCCCACGTGCAAGGGTGATTCGACGCGGGAGGCAACATACCACCGTTTCATAAAGAATCAATGCTAACATTGCCAAGTGCGCATCGCTTACGTGACAATGTCCGATGGAAGATCTTCGATTACATTCGCGGCACCTGCTGCTGGAATTTCACCTCAAGGAACACCGGAATCAGCCGGTCATGGGAGTGGAGACATCATTATGGTGAGCGCTGGGCCCGCGGCGACAAGCCAGCACAGTGATGCAGGCATAGATCAGACCACGGGAGCAAGGGCTTCCTCCCAAAAACTGTCAGATGGAGGTGATGGGCTCAACAACTTGACGATGAACTGCGGAAAGCCCGGCGGAAAACGGAACTACAGATGAGTGAAGCTGCTGAGCAGTATGATGAGAATCGTGCATGGAAAGCGGAATGTATTTCGATTTTTTTTGTATCCAAATTCTTGAGTCTGATGAGGCAGGAAGCTTGCAAAGGATACTTGACCTGGAAAGAGTGAATAACACCCTTGAGTCCCAGGTTGAGTTTGTTCACGGAAGAATGAGGGACGAATACGTTGAAGACCAAAGCGAGCAGACTCAATGAGCTTGAAGCGATGGTTTACGACTTCAACAGTGAATCTCAGCAATTGAGAACGGAGAACAGTGAGGTTTCGGCATCAATGCGGCTACTCGGTTATCTTCCACTACGACGCAGGCAATCGGGCCTTTGCCGGATGGTGGGCTGCAATGTTCAACCAAAATTAACTGACAACGTTGTTTGACGCGCGGAACGAAGAGATCATGGGGACACTGAGGCAGTGCTCGGAGCACTGCGTGCCCTTTCTGGATACTCGTGGTGCGCAATGGTGACGAGCTTCCTTGAGTGGGGAGACATCAACGCCATCCTCCATGGCCTGGAGCATTCCCTCCACACACACGGGCAAGATTACCGATTCAGCGCCCCACAACAGGAAGGACGGAAGGTCCAGGAACAATTCGCTCAGGGGCACGGATGTCCAAGTAATGGAGTGGTACAAGATGTTGCCGGAGCCTGTGTTCCAGCTCCCGTCCGGAGGGACGAAGGTGGGATGTATTGCGGGTCGTTTTCCAAAGGGCTTGTTGAAGTGGAAGCGTTTACCATACTTCTTGAAGAGACGCCAGAGTTGGGGAAGACGGCAGAAGACGATGACGTCAAAACGGATGATAAAGAAGGCCTAGGAGGGGCAGTCTCCTGACCCTGACTATGGCGCATCACCAGACCAGAAGGAGATGACCATGTGAGGAAGAGCCCTCTAACCAAATGGCAGTCGACGAAGGGAGCGGCGAGCAGGATGTGGAAATGGCGGCAGAGCCCGCGGCAATGACGTTTGACACTCGAAAGAACACAGACTGGTGGACCGCCAAAGCCAAGACGTGGAAACAATGGTGCGGATGCTGAAGGAGATGGCGGAGCAAAAGGCCACGTCGAAGGGCAGCAACGAAGCATCATCATCCTCGAATGGTGGCGGCAGTGAAGGAGGCGAGAAGGCTGCCAAGGAGGGCGAAGAGACCAAAGAAGCGGGACCAAAGCCGACACGATGGGAGAGGTCCAAGCCGTCTCCCAAGCCCGAACTCGTGCCCATGACCCGACGGAGGCGAAGTGCTGTCAGATGGCCATCGGGTGCGCTTGCGTAGGGGAAATCGGCACCGTACAGCAGACCGTGAGTACCTTAATGCATCAATGTCCAAACACATTCCATCTCCGCTTCAAAACAGGTATTCGGACAAGCGGCAAACTGGACTATTTTACACAATTATTCGTCGTTCAGACCAGGCATTGGGGGACCCCTGGCATTGACAACCTTCGCATATACGGCGGGTCCTGCGGGATTGAGTGGGGAAGCGCTGCGCTGATGCGCCACTCTGCACCGAAAACCGGGTTAGGCAGCGCCAATGATGTCGAGTTGCGAGGCATTGGGGCTGCCGATAGTATCGCTTCATTCCAAGTGGATGGTGACACCAATTTTCTGCGGGCGGTGACAGACTATAAACATGCCTTATAACCAGGTGTTCTTTTAACAATACTCATGCCGGGGATTGGGCACATTTGCGGGGAAAGTGATACCGTATATCGGATCGCAGGTGGGGCGAAGAATCCTACCAAAAATTTCGGCCTCTGCACTGGCGCTTCAATGATGGAGCACACAGTGTGGGGGGGGGTGAAGACTGCGACTTGCACAGGTACATTTCATGTAAAGTGCATGCGCACGGTGGCTCAAGGCTCAAGTCCCGTCTCGAAACATACGTTGCGAGACATCAAAAGGAAAACAATCGAGCTCACTGGAAGTGCGCTGTATTAGGGACAATTGATACAACGCATGTTTCCTGAAAAAACAACACAACCACTGTTGACGAGCATAACTGAAGCATCCCTCGATTCTCACTCTATGACCCTAGTATATTCTTGTATTCCTTGGGAAGTGAACTTTAGTACACACCCCTGATGTATCTCCAAAACCCATACCTGGAAACTTTGCAAACGCGCCAGGAGAAGCTTCTGTCCTTCGAGGCCTCCCAAATCAGCCGCCTGCAGTTCCAAAAGCTGCGCCGCAGCCGGGGCCCGTGACAGGCGCCTCTAGTTTGGAGGACCAGCTTAGTGGCAAACAAAAGTTTGGCCCCTTTTTTTGGTCAGTCCACGCAAGAAGTGAGATGTTGTATTCCCCCTGTTGGATTTGAAGGAAATCTGTCACTACTGGAAAGTTGTCCGTTTGTTTTTAAAGTGAGGGATTCCCTTCAACAAGGGCCGCCTTCCCCCAGAAAACAAATGGCTGAATATCTTAGTTGGGAGCCACCTCAGAAGTGGCTGGCTGACATGAATTCCAGCTAATTTTTTCTCCACCAAAGGTTTCCCTATTCAAATGCGCACACACACAAATGTCACGCTTGAGAATTTAAACGTCGCTTTATGACACATCAGCAATAACATAAAAAGACATGTCAAGTCGGGGCCTCAAAACGAGTGTGCCCTTTGATCAGCTAGGTATCAAAATAGGGCTCGATGAAACGCTGGGTTTCCGTCGGGTTCTCTTTTAAAGGCAACCAACAGTTGGTCTCACGTTACGCCATTTTGTGAAGCTCTCACGCTGCAAACAAACAGAGCCCAAAGATGGGGCCTCCCGTGCTGACGATGGTTTGGGGGCCCATGTTCCGAACGGTCGCTGAAAAATTTCACAGTGGGCGCAATCTGAATCGCCTGAAAGGCATTTTGATTTTGAGCCTTAGCTCATCGTTGGAACAGATGGGGGCTTGTCTCCAACGTAACGTGGAACCCCAAAAAAAACAGCCCACCAAAACCAATAATGTGTCAAAAGAGTACTGGCTTCCTTTTCCCTTGTTTCTTGAAGCCATAGGTCTGAGGTGGGTAAGTATTGTGCAGATAAACAACTTTCGCTTTAAGGATGCTGTGTCTCTCGGTGTTTTTTCTTGCCCTTGGCCCAGGAAGGAGGTGTCGGATGGTGTCGGTAGCAAGCTACCATTGAACAATCATTGTCATCTTAATATTTGTATATTGTAGTTGTCCCCTTCACTTTCAATTATCTTTCCCTTTGTCTCTGGAATTCGGAAGTAGGATTTGACGTTGGACATGCGCACTTGCTTTCAGCCAGAAACCGAGGCTTGGACATGACCAAGTCTGCAGATCGAACCAGGCCGAGGGTTCGATCCCGGGACGTGGTACCAAATCATTGCCAGACGGCCAGTGCCCAGTTTTCCCCACGGTTTTTTGGAGGGCTTACTTCGCTTTTAAACAAATTTAATCACAGGGAGACTGTTCTTGGCCAATCCACGGAAGTGGAAGGGTTGCCTTCAAAACGCCTCCAAAACCTAGGGCTAAGAACCGGAAACGCCACATCTAAATCCGATACCAGCCAACAATTGGACGGGCTGGTTTGCCCTGGCTGGGGGGGGGGGCTTACCCGCCTTTCCACATAGCAACAGGGCAAAGAAAGCAGCAGGAGAGGGAGAGAGAGAGAGAGAGAAAGAAAGAAAGAAAGAAAGAAAGAAAGAAAGAAAGACAGAAAGACAGAAAGGACAGAAAGCAAGAAAGAAAGCAAGAAAGAAAGAAAGAAAGAAGGACAGGAAGGAAGGAAGGACAGGAAGGAAGGAAGGAAGGAAGGAAGGAAGGAAGGAAGGAAGGAAGGAAGCAAGGAAGGAAGGAAGGAAGGAAGGAAGGAAGGGCGGAAGGAAGGAAAGGAAGGGAAGGGAAGGGAAAGGAAAGGAAAGGAAAGGAAAGGAAGGAAGGAAGGAAGAGAAAAATAGATAAAGAAAGAGCAAGAGGGAGTGAAAGAGAGAGAAAGAGAGACGTTAAAATACGTTGATACTTTACTTCTAGTGCAAGTGTTGTTCAGTTATCACAAACACAAATGTAGTCAGCCAGCATGCACTCTTTTCCTAGTAGACTCAAGGCCTGCAGTCGGGTAGTGTACATCATGCATGCACAAGTGACAAGTAGTGCAACATGATATTTGACACGGCCCCTTGGTTAAAAGACCTTGTAGTGTCCTTTAACCATAGACCCAAAAGGTGGTATTGACAGTAGTGGCAAAAACGAATGCACATGTTGTTTGCCGATGCTACTGTAGCGAACAGGCATGTAGTCTCTTAAAAAAGATGACCGAAGGTAGGTATCTACAGCGCTGCTGTCTGTAGTTCAACTAACCTTCAAATGATCAGAAAAGTGAAATTGCTGTACAAGAACCCTAGTTGGTTCTCAGTCATCTCGTAGTACGATGACGTAGTACAGCACGTAGTTGCAGCTCCACCTGGACAGGTGTGCTTAGTCCAGTGTTGGACTCGGTAGTTCTGGACTTGGCTGATGTAGTCCAAGCCTGCATAGTGGTTGGTAGTGAATGTGTTGAGGAAGTCTGGACCGCCACGAAGGCGGTTGTAGTCGCATTCCGGTGGTGCAAGTAGTGAGGTAGTTGTGGAGTAGTAGTTTGTGTTGCATGGAAAGATTTGTAGCCGTGAGGAGGGTGATGCCGTAGTAGGTGACACTTTTGTGTAGCATCGTGTTGATGGACTTGTAGTGGTGGTCTTGAAGTTGTTGTGGTTGGTCGAAGTAGTTGAGTAGTTCTGGTAGGTACAGGGGCATGTGATAGTTCCAAATGAAGTTGTTGGACAGGTTGAATGTAGTGGTGATCTGGTCCAAGTTGTAGGTGATTCGGTGTAGTCGTTGATGTAGCTGGCGTGTAGGTAGGTGGTGCTCATCTTTGATGGAAATCATGTGGCTCACGTAGTCGCGGCAGAAGTTGACGAGTTGTCCAGCGCTGACAAATCGTAGTAGAACTTCTGGTGGAATGTGTAGTTGGATAATGACCATCGAGTTGGTGTACTGGGTTGTGAGGTGTAGTGATGTAAGGTTGTAGTAGTAGAAGTTGACTGCCTCTGAAAGACGTAGGTGAAGAGGTAGTGAGTCGTAGTGTGGCATCCGTAGGTCTGAAGGTAGGTCGTGAACTGGTAGGTTGTAGTTGAGCTCGGGGATGGGTGTAGTTTGTTGTTGACTTAGTAGTTGGAACTCCTCGAGCGTCAAAGCCGCGTAGACCCTGAAGTAGTTCTGCTCCGGGTCGATCGCTGGAGTGTCGGGGATGTTGTTCTCAGTTGTAGTGAGGTGTGCCAAGATGTCGTCGGGTCTGTAGAAAGGTGCCGGTGTGGGTAGTTGGTGATTGAAGTTGTAGTTGAGGGAGTTGTAGGCCTCAGGTGGTGGAGTGGCCAAAGTAGCCATGCTGCCGGAGTCGGTAGTGCCCTGCCGATCCGGTGGTGTGAAAACACGGTCCGGTGTAGTACTGCCAGCCTGTTGTTCGACGGGCAGAGTAGTCTCTGGCGCTGATGTAGTAACCTCCATCGGCATGACATCCAGCGTAGTCGCATCCATGGGCGTAGTTCCAGCCATTGCTGGTAGTTTGGCCTATCGAGATGCAGTGAAACGGGGCAGACAGTAGTGAGCCAATGTTAGCTCACAAAAGCACATGCGGGCATGTAGTAAAACACAAAACAACATGTAGTGTTGACTCAAGCCGCCAAAAGCCGCCAAAAGTGCAAGTGCAAATTACTGGTGGTTACAATTACTATTACTTGTAGTCACTGTTACTGTTACTGTTACTTAAGTGCAGGTAGTTACATATGGCCATATACAAACTGTTGTGATTGATGTGCAACAGTTGTGAAACAGTTGTTGTTCGTAGTGCTAAACACGTATGCCAATGCTCTGTATGAGCCTCTGTAGTGTTTCTTTGCTAATGTATTTTGTGAACAAGTCTGAGCTGTTGTGTAGTGTGTTGATTTTGAGGATTCTGATGATGTCGTGCTTGATGAGGTCTTGTGTGTAGAGAAATTTAAGGTCGATGTGTTTTGCTCGTTTGCTAGTGCCTTGTCGTGTAGCAATGCTCTTGCCTGCTGTGGAGTCTGTGTGGATGCGTAGATTTAGCTTGCTGCAAATGTTGGTTTCAAGTAGGAAGTTTCTGAGGTGTAGTCCCTCATTAACTCCTGTGCAAATGGCGTAGAGTTCAGACTCTGCTGAGCTGAGTGCTATTGTAGCTTGTGTTCTGCTGCCAAATGCAACTGTTGTTCCTAAAAAGATGATGTTGAAACCTGAAGTTGATTTCCTGGTAGTAGGGCATCCTGCCCAGTCGGCATCGACATGAACGTCGAGATCCAGGATGTTGTTAGTGTTTGCTCTGAGTGTTGTTGTTGGTTCTATGGTGAATTTGTAGTGCTTGGTGCCGTTCAAGTAGCGTAGTAGATGTTTGACTCTCTTTTGTGAGAGTTCTGTAGGTGCTGTGAGGTCTCGTGCTAGTTCTTTTGTGGAGTATGCGATGTCTGGTCGTGTGTATGCTAACCATTGTAGTTTGCCAACAATCCTTCTGTACCTTTTGTGTTGTTCGTGGTCAAGTAGTGCTTCATCTTCTATTGTCGGTTTGTAGTGTGCAATTCCTGGAGTGTTCACTGGGTTGCAGTTGTTCATTCCAGACTCCTCGATCATGTTGTCGATGTAGGAGTCCTTTAGTCCCAGGTTGCAGTAGTTGCCAAAGTGGTCGATGTTTCTTCCAAGAAATTGTTGTGGTTTGCCAGGTTCGAGGTAGCCGATGTGCTTGAGTAGGACCTGCTTCTGGATGGCCTCGAAGGTGGAGTCGACAGTAGTCTTGTCACCAAGTACCAAGAGATCATCCACGTAGACCATGATGTAGCAGTCGCGAGTTGCATTGGTGTAGACGTTAGGTTCTGACTTTAGTCTTACAAAGCTGAGCTTTTGTAACACTTCAGCCAGGTAGTCCTGCCATGCTTTTGGTGAACTGCGTAGTCCATACATGGCTTTCTTTAGTCGCCAGATTTTGTCCTGTTGTGGACAAAGTTCTTTAGGTGGCCAAAGGTAGACGTCACGTTGTTTACCGTCGTGGTCTTTTGCGATGGGTGCGTGTAGAAATGCTGTAGAGACGTCGCCTAGTCGCGCGATCCAGTTTGGTCGTGACATTTGTAGTGCGAGAAGTGTCCGGAGTGTCGTGAACATTGGTGTAGAGGCGTAGACGGAGTCTTCGACTTCGCACTCCTGGTCCTTTCTTCCTGTGTACCCATCTAGTAGGTATCGCTTCTCTTATGACGTTGTCGTCGACGGTAGACGCATCTACTTCGTCGTAGACGTCATGTAGCTTCATTTGATTTGACTCGTGTTTCATTCCTTCCAGTAGTTGTGTTTCGTCGTAACCTTCGTTGTCGAAGATTATGGGTTGGTCTTCTGAGGTGTCGTCGTTTGTGTAGGGTGTGATGAATTTGCCGTTGGGAAGTGTCACTGCGTTAATTTTCTGTCGTAGTGGTGGTGGTTCTTTGGTTGCTTGCTCCGTTGATCTGATTGTAGTGTCCTTTGAGGTCTTCTGTGCTTTAGTGGGTTGCATTACTTCTTCCGGAGTTAAACGTCGTAGTGTTTGTCGAGGTGGTGCTGGTAGTGGTGGATGTTGTCGTCCGGTTGGTGAAGTAGCCATCGGACTATCCGGTAGTGGTCGTGAACTTGACGTCGATGTTGACGGAAGTCGTGGAGGTGGTGTGGTGCGTTGTTGTTTTGTTGCGGGTTCCGCAACGATGTCGTCCGTAGCGTTCGTTTGTTGTCCGAAATCTTGCGTGGACCTTCTTTTCTCTGACGGTGGTAGTTGCGCATCCAACAGTGTTGCGAACGATGGGTTGTAGGTGTTCCGTCGTGGTGCCCACGGTGTGCCGGAAACTTTGTTCAATAGTGCGAGGTCGTATTTGAAGTCCGGTTGTAGTCTCCGCACTGTTCGTACCTTTTGTACGCCTGATTCCGTTGCGACGTAGTTTTCTCCGGTTTCGGAAACTTTTCCGAGCCAGATGCATTTCTGCATCCGTAGGTCTGCTTTTGGGAGTTTCTTGTGTTGTGGTGGAAGGTAGAGTAGTGTCTCGCCAAATTCGCAGATTGCTCGCTCGTAGTTTCTTCCCCAGCGGCGTTCGAAGCTTGTGTAGCCGTCTGAGTGAATGACGTAGCGATTTACCGTCCATGCTGCGTGTCGTACTATCCAGGTAGTAGACAGTGCTTTGTGGACATCATGCAGTGCTGTACGTTGCTTTCATGCCTGAGTTGCTTTCAACGCAGGAGCTTTGATAGAAGTGTGTCTTGTAGTCGCTCAGTAAGACCGCAACAATTGAA